AGAATATTTATTTTTAACTTACCTGTAACTTGTTGAGATTATGGACTGCCTCACTATTTTTCACTTTGGCCAACTTATTCTGATTTAGGTTGAGTTCATTATGATAAAAACGTGTTGTTAAGGAACGCGCCTTTGTGTTCTTGCTGTTTTCATTTATGTGATATACCTTTTGTAATGATTTTTGTTTTAAATTGGCTTTGGAACCAACGAGTGGTATCGGAGCACCTTTCTTTAAATGATTTGGGTTATACTTTATTTTTATTTTTTTTAAAACCTTAGTTTTTCAAAAGTCGTTTGAAGTTGCAGATCTTGAGATTCTTCAAAGTTTTCTGTAAGAAAATTTGTTTTCTGAAAAGGCTTATGGTTGATCTACCCCCAATTCAACTTTCTGGTTGCATATCTTGGTTATTTTAGTATATTCTAGGTTATATCCGTGAGATCTAGTACGATCTCTTATTGTTCTTGAAGCTTTAATCGTTTTCCCTCTAAAAACCTTTTGACTCGCTCTTGATCTTGCGAGATCTGTTGTTTTTTTATTGAGTTCTGGCGATTCTGGTATGACTCACTACTGAGTCCTGGTTGTTCCTTTACTGAGTTCTGATGAACTTAGTTGACTCGCTTCGATTCATGCTGATTTCTCTACTCATTGGTTCATTTCTGGTATTCTTTTATTGAGCATCTCATTATGTACTATCTTTATCTTTGCCCTTCCATTATTAAATTGCCTGTTAATTTTTGACTTGGTTATTAAGGTAAGTAACCTACCAATTTTTTCCTTTGTCCAAGATCTCTTGTGAGGATCTAGGAATCTAAGGGACTAGTGGACTCAAGGGCTATCACCTACCCTATTTTGAAATTTACACATTTTGTGATTCTATAAAGTTGGTTAAATTTAAAATACTCTGTGTGTTTTATAATTGTACGTTTGTGATCATATTTTTCAACATGACCACTGCACACAAATTTGAAGTAGAGATTTGGAATGATACTAGAAACTTCAGTCTCTGGCGCTAAAAAATGAGAGCTATGTTGTTACAACATAGATGTGCTATTGCCCTTGATGGAACTTGGGCTAT